GCTCATCAGATTAAAAGATGAAAGAGCAGTTACAAGTAATGGAAATCTTATCTACAAAATTAATTGCATGAACTGCTGAACAATTTATGTAGGCATGACTTCAAGTTCATTGAAAGAACTACTGGATGAACATAGAAGACTTTGTGATTAGGTAATTTCAAATGATAACGAAAAACAAAAATTGGAAAAAAAAAATCAGCGATTACATGCCATTACAGAAGGTCACAGAATTGTCTTCGACCATGCGAAAATAAAATTGACGAACCAAAGGCATTTCAATTATAGAAGAGTAGTTTAAATCATTTGTTAGAACTGCAAGTATTTTCTTTTAATTATTCATCGTATTTGATTTGGACTAATAGCGGGAATCCTGTTTCGAAAAAAATGCAAATCCCCGAACACTATACCAAAAAATCCAATCCCTAAAGAAAGAAGCAGACGGTGAGAGTTTGTGAGAAATTATATAATATTTTTTTTTTATTTCTTGAACTGAAATAATTTTATATACGGACGGACCAAATGACGGACCAAATAGGAGAAAAGCTATTAGTCCAGGCAATGCTATAAATACCGGTAAAAAAAATTACTCGCCAGAGGATATGTCTCCCTAACAGATTATTAACCCATAATAAATCTTCTTTTCGGCGGGTTACAATATATTTATGAATTTTCATCTTAATGACCATATCTCGAAGTGCCTGATTTTCCGTCAGTTTGAAAATCGTGTTTTCGGAAGAATCTGTGAACTTGACTGAATCTGACCAATTTTTCTTTTCTTTTCATTGTTTTTTGTATCTGACTGGCTTTCATTTATTCACGCTTGGATTGTAATTATTAACTCGTTGTGAAAGAGAGAAAATACATCATCGTATTCGAATCAATATACATTATTTTAATGACTGAAAAAAAATCAATAATAGTCAATTATGTTATTATGCCTAATTAGTTTTCTTAATTTCAGATCTTCAAATTTCTTTTTGGCAGAGGTAAAAAGAGAGTCGAAGAAATATTAGATGTTTTATATGAGAGTTCGAATGTTTTCCGATTAGATGGATTGTAGAAAAAAAAACCAGATCAACAATACAAAGTACACAGAGATCTCATAAATAAAGAAATGTTACTACAAGTAATAAAAGACAGAGGAATATGGAGATCACATCCTGAACTTAGTACATAATAGAACAATATTTCTAACATGGCATAGATGACAATGGTATTATTAGCCGTTTCTTTGTAAGGAAACATTAGACATTCATTGACAAAGCGGCCTATACTGGTTTCAGTTGAAATATATAAAGTCTTCCTCTTGACACACTTCTTTTAGGAAAACGTTTCTCAAGTTCAGTAGGTTTTTTTTCAGTATTGATGGGGGTCCCTTTCATTTTATTTGAAGTAGTGAGAAAGATGGTTGAAAGGTCACTCAAATTATGTGGAGGTCATATAGTATCCTAATTCAAATCTGGTAAAAAGGAAAACGAGCGAGTAATATTCAATAATTATTTTAGATTATTTACACACACACACACACACACACACACACACACACACACATATATATATATATACTCGACTCTCACGTCGAATTCGACATATGAGTGTCAAGCAGATCAGTTCCTACGAAACCGACAGCCCGACAACAGCACATGAGATTTGATTATAGTGGTGAAGGTTTTGTGCAGGACCATCCACACTTTTTGAAGGGCTGAATACAGAGACCTGGTTCACTACGTGCCACAAGGTCCCCAAACGACCCTCCGCAGGTTTTGAATTCAGAGTTGTCCTTCTCCTAGACCAGTTGCCATCCAAGGCTATAGAACCCAGTCTGTCCTGCTATTTATCCATAGCTGGAGAGAGAAGAAGAGGATTCACACCTTTCCCAAGGGTATTTGGAAGGCTGGATGTAATGGATTCGACTGGAGTTCGAACTCCGATTACTTAATCTAAGCCGCTATCCACTAGTTATATAAGTGACAGTGTTTTGGCTCAGGCTTCAGCATAAAATTCTTTTTACTCCTTTGTAGGATAAATATTTAAAACGTTTTAATCTAGGAAACATTCCCAGGTATCTTAATTGATAATATCATATATATATATATATATATATATATATATATATATATATATATATATATATATATATATATATAAATAAAAAAAAAAGAACAGTAAGATATAAAATCCGGTGTTCTTATAGATATTTTATTTTACAAAATAGTGCTCAATGTAAATTTACAGAGCATTAATATTATAAATTAATTGATTTAAAATATGGTTATTTTCGCTACACAGTTCCAACCATGTTTCAAAAATAGAAGCTAAAAACCCTAATTTTATTTTTGCAAATAAATTAAAAGCATTAGTTCCATTTCATCTTCAAGCGAATTTTGGAGTAATTTTTAAAATTTACCGGGTTTTAAATACACAGCTAAAATCACGTTTCCATGGTTACAGAATATTCTACTCAAATTGAACACGGGGTGTCTAGATTTTCCTTATGACA